CTCTCTCTCTCTCTTTCTTACGTATTACGTATATGTGTGCAGGTGGTGAACGCGCGTTTCCGAAACGTACGAGAAAATTAGGAATCGGCCGTGGGAATCACTCGGCGGCAACTCCGTTTGCCCAAACTACCCGAGACACTGAAAGAGAGTCGTCTGCTGATTAACCAATCCATCGTAAAGACGACGCGGCGATCTCCGCCATTTCACGGGAAACGATCGCGTTTATGGCACGGTGCCGTGATTATACAAAGTCCTATGGATATTCCCTTTGCTTCTTTATCCTCTCTCTCACTCTCTCTCTCTCTCTCTCTCTCTCTCTCTCTCTTTCTCTCTCGCGTTCTCTCGGCTGCCTGCGAACGACCGAATATCGAGCCCGGTCGTTCATCCCTGCCCCGCGGAGGGGGACAGGGGAAAACAATGGCGCGATTATCGCGCACGGGTATATCCGTTAATTTCGAGGCACGCGGTAGTATTACGCGAACAATAATGGCACTGTCAATCACTCGCGTTAAATATTACAACATTAGAAAAATCGCAAGTCGAGTCCGACGATAGTCTCTTTTAATTGACTTCACGAGAAGTAACCTTTGCCGTAATACTACGCACGGTTTCGGGAATCGATGGATGAAACGGCGGAGATCGCGACGTTCCATCGCGAACGATTCGACGCGCGGCATCATCCCCCGCCGCCGATCGAGATTGATCACCGAGCTCGATCAACGCGCCCGAGGACAAGCGTCGGAGGATCGTAGACGGCTAAAGGCGAAGGAGAACCTTTTCGATCGCGGCGCATGCTCGGTAATCCCGATAGAGTAGACTATTGGATCGCGCGCGCGCGTATCGGCGATTCCGACGGTCTGAAAGGCAACCGAGGATCAAGTGAAAAACGCAAGGAACGCGCAACGAAAGAAAAGGAAAAGGGGGGGTGTGTAAAGTCGGCGCGCATAGGCCTCGGCCGAGCGTGGTGGCTCGAGGCTGAGAACACGCTCGCGCTACTACTGTACAGGATCGGAACGTGCAGCGGGACTGTAGAACGGCGTCCCGGCTGCTGGCGTCGCGTAACAAGAAGCAGAGTACGACGGCGGCGGTGAGGAGGCCGACGCCGACGACGACGACGACTATGATCGATAGATGTAGCTGCAGGGCGGCGTCGGCGGTGGCGGCGAGCCACCGCTTATGGCGATCGGTACGAGGGTCGGCGAGGGTGACGAGGAGGGAGGAGACGGGGAACTAGACGAGACGCTCGAGGGTGGCGAGGGCGATTCTAGCGCCCTCGGGCCCGCGAGCTCGCGATTCGACTGTCCCCCTGACGTCACAGCGCGACTACTCCTGGCCGCTGTGGTCGCGTTGTGCCGATTTCGCGCTGGCCGTCCTAAGCTCCGGTGACGGCCACCTCCCTCCTCGTTCGTTTCTCAGAGATAAACCTTCTTCACGCTGCGGGTGGTCGCGAATCCGTCGTTGCGTCGATACGCGTCGCCCTGGTGGGACCGCAGGGTCCCGAAGTTGTCCCTCGGCCCGCGGAAACCGTACCCCTCCGGGAACTGGAACAGCGTTTCCGTCGGGGTTGGCGGTGGTTTTCGCATCGTGCCTTTCGGCGAGTGCAGCTTCGGAGGTTGCGGAACCAGCACCGGTTCCGCGTACGTCACTTCCTCCTGGGGCAGTAATTTTGGCTCTGGCGCTAACCTGCTGCAATATTCCAAGCGAAAGCGTCTCGTAACACGTTCAACCCCGTCCAAACCGTACATACTACGACCGATCCTCACCTGTTCACGTTCTGCCGTTGTTCGAAGTACTCGTACTCCGTGTCCGGATACGGCAGATTGTCGTCCTCGTCCTTTCTACACTTTCTGCCGCACAGGTAGCCCGCCACGAAGCCGACCAACAGTGCCGCCAACGCGCCAGCTACCACGGCCATCACCAACGTCTCCACGGAATACTGAGGCGGCGGGGAGTCTGCGGCCGATACCTCTGGACCTGCATCGATCCACGACGTTTCGACATTACTCTCTCTCTCTCTCTCTCTCCCTCTCTCTCTCTCTCATACCTTCTCACCGCTTCTCATACCTGAATTATCCTGCTCCTCGTCCTGCATGATGTTGATAATCTCCCCACCTTGTCCTTCCTTGTTCGTGATCATCGAGTCTTGCGGGAATTTGTTCTGATTAGCGGAGATGGCGCCGACGCTGCTCGCGTCCTTGTTCAGACTCTTGCTCGGTGGACAGGACGCGTGCAGACCGGTCGCGACGCTCTGCAGGAATCTATTCGCGTCCGTGGCAGCGGGGCTCATCAGAGCTCTGCACTTGCCCTCCACCTTGTCCCAGGCACAATACGGATCCTGCAGGGCCACGCACTCGCCGCACGACAGGATCCTGTCGCTGTAGCATCGGTGCAACCTCAGCGCCTGGACCTGGCTGTCGGCGATCACCACCAGCCTGCCATCCTCCAGACCGTCGCCGGCCTGAGAGGCTCTCACCACCTTGATGCCGCGAACCGGCACCGTCGACGGGAACGCCTGGATCTCCTCGATCACCACCGGGCTGACCTTCAGGTGAGTGTCCGCGGACTCTGCGTTCACCGCCTTGATCACTTTCCCGTTGTCCGTGCCGATGAACAGCACGTCGTACGTCTTACCGCCGGGAGTCTTCACCTGCGGATCCACTGCGATCTGCGTGAACCTGTAACTGTTCCGTTCGAACGCGTGACGGTTTCATCGTCTCTCGAAAACGCGCGTTTAAAAATCACCGTTTTAACTGTTCCGTTCGAACGCGTGACGGTTTCATCGTCTCTCGAAAACGCGCGTTTAAAAATCACGTCAGGGAAAAATTCAACGTCAGGGAACGCGGGAACTTACTGAAAACTGGTGCGAATGACGATCGGTTGGCCGAAGAAGCTCGGCACCAGCTCGTCCATGAGGGAGTGCGTGTGGATAAAGTTGAGGGTGAGATCGGGCAGAGATCGGGAGTCGTTGACGCACTGGCCTGGCCTCGGGACAGGCACCTTGGTACTCTGCACCGGCAACCAGTTCGAGTTGATGGCGCTCTGTTCCTTGAAGTTGCCCTTGAAGGTGTCGGTGATGTCCTGCAAGGAGAAGGCGCACACGGCCGAGCCGCTGATGCTGTTCACGGGGGTGGTGAACGTGCTGTATATCAGCTGCGCCGACTTATTCCCGTACTGCCCCGATATCAGTTCCGTCGTCGATTCTGCAAATAACGCGCCCGGTCATTCCCAGCCTCTTTGTTCGCGCGACCTCGCCCGTATCCACGCGCGTTTACGAGCGTGCCGGCGAATCCCTTGGAAAATTTATTTCTCCGCCTTTCGAGCGAGCAAGTGCCGCCCGTTTGGAATCAACGACACACGGCGGTTCATGCTCGATCGAAAGGGGAACGCCTCGATTTCCCCTGGCGGGATCGAGGGACCACTCGGATCCGATCGATCGCTCGCAGCTGTAGCGCGAGTTCTCTCCGCTTGCAGAAGCTCATACTTACGGATTTCATTGAAATAGAAAGGGAAGTCTCCGGTCACGGAGCAATTAAGACGGGACTTTAGGAACGAGGTCCATCTATTGCGATATCGATGCGGACCACCTCGATCGTATTTACAGACTCTCGCCACGCGAGAATAGACCGTCTGGAAAGAAAAAGAGAGCAACGAGAGTGAATCTGGCTTCTCCTCTCTCTCTCCGTCGAGGACGCGTGGAATTACGCGCGCGGTACTCGATACTCTGCCATTTTTCCCGATAAATTGGAGGACGTGCCTGAAATTTTCCGCGTCGTTCGCGCACACAACGAGAAATCTTCGTCTCGCGGCGGTCGCGGCGGAAATTTCCTACCGATCACGGCTCGACGAGGAATTTTAACCGGTAGCGGAGATCGATGGCACGATCGAGGTTAGGGTGACCACTTACCTTGCCGCAATTGATATATTCCACGGCGGTCTCGCGGAAGAAGAAGTAGACGAAGTCTCCCTGGACCATGGAGTTGACGAAGTTTGGCGCTGCAATTAGAACGGGCGCGTATTACGAGGTTATTAGCGCGGTTAGCACCGGGGTAACTCGTAAAGTTCCCCGAGGAACAAACGAACCGGCGATAACCGGTCGAATCGCTGGAACGAAGCGATAAAATATACAGATAGCGCTGACTGGTTGCTATGGAATAAAAAATACAGCCGTTAGAACCGGGTAAGCCGGGCCGATGGACGGGCTGGAAAAATCGGTTGAAAGCTACTCGTCGAGGGGGTGCGATCGAAAGGATAATCCGGCGTTGTTTTAGGGCGGTGGCATCGGATCCTCGTTAAAAAATCATTACCCGCATCGGGATCGTCTCCGGTGGTAGACCGGGAGGGCGAGATTTCCAACGATCGTGGAAGAAGGCTAGGTCGTAAAAATCAATTTTACTCGCCGAAACGACGTCTTCCAGACCGCGTCGCGGCGAGGAAATAAGCCAACCACGAATACCTAAGAACCGTTTTATTTTGTCGGTTATGGGAACGGTGTCGCGGTAAAACGACGCGCTTTTCTCTTCTTCCAGCCTCTTCATCCGCTCTTCATTTTTTCCTTTCTTCTCTGTCGTCACTGACCCCCCGTGCTCGCGCGCGCTATCACTCTCTCTCTCTCTCTCTTTCTTTCGCGGGGGGCCAGTCGCACAGACTCGCGTACACGAGCGTCCGATAAAGTGGGAAAACTTTATCGATTTATTAACTTGACAGGGTTTTCATAAGCTTCTTAGGATTCATAAAGTAATATTAATCTTGAGCGCCACGTAGGTATATCCGACCGACCCGCCATGCTTCGGCCCATAAATTTTCTGTCGTTTTCTCTGCCTCTTTCTCCGTCCACCCCACGGGGCCCGCACACCCCCGCCGATCCATCTACCACGCCACCTCGTCGTCCAGCTGTCTTTCCTTCCCGGCGCGTTCCACCGCCTCGCCATCGAGACAAAGCGGTGGCAGCGGGAGGAAAAGCGAGGACAGAGTCTATTCGCTCGTCGACCCTTCCAACCATCCCCCCCGGCGCAATCCGCGATTAGAAAAATGCCCCACGATGGATACCCGTGAAACGACACCCGCGCGATGGAAATCGGCGCTGGACCGTCCGCGCGATGATACTCGAAACGCGTGGCAGCCGCGATGAAAGCTTTCGATGATCGTTTAGGTGGAAGTAGTAACGATGTAGCAATTATTTCGCGGCGAAAATAAAAATTCCTCGCCGCAACGACCCACTCTTTGCCACCCTTTTTTATCCCCTTTTTTCCATTTTCTATTTCCCCTATCTCGTTTTTCCCACTTTTATTTCTATTTTTTTCCCCCCGTTGAAACTTTTCGGTTCCGCGTCGTCAACGAGCAGCGAAAATTTCGAGCGGCGAGCGAGAGAGGGAGAGGCGAGCGCGAACGAAACGAGCGAGCACGGAGAGAGAGGGAGAGAGAGGCCGATAGAGAGTCGAATTTTCAACGAACCGAGGGAAAATCAATATTATCCAGCGGCCGGAGAAACTTGATTAGCGTTCGTACACCGTTCAATTAAAATGCTCCAACGGACGAGCGAAATCGTGGAATAAGGTGACGCAGTCATGGTTCATCCCTTCTCGGGTTCACCTTACCGTTCGAGCCGACACTTTCTTCCCGAGTTCTCGGGGGTGGAAACGTGCTATCTCGTGAAAAATTCCCGCCGCTGGATCTCACGAGCGCGTCATCCCTCGGTATCCCGACTATAATTCTCTCTCGGTTGGTCACCGTCCCAAATAAAAATTCGACCTTTCGGCAAATTCGCAGGGGAACCGTAACTCTCGTTCGCCCTTCGTTTTTCTCCACACCACCGCCGGCGACCGTCGTAGACGTTTCGTCGGCGCGAGCGGGTGCGCGAGAAGCTGGAAAAGGGACGTAAGCCCGATTTACGAGAATCGGCCGATAAAGCGGTTAATAATAACCGACCCCGCGACAAAACAGCGGGTGAACGGTTGAATCGGCGGACAGGGGGCAGACGGAGTCTCTTATCCGGATTAAAATTTCCCATGGACGGTATCGTGAGTCGTTCCCTCGCGAACCGGTCCAGACTTTTGTCGTTACACAGATACGCAGAACCGTGGAATAATATCGCGAAATCCAACGTACACGCACGTTTAATCTGAGAATTACAGCTAACCCACACCGTGTGGATTAAAGCCGACTGGTCGTCGCGACGCGCCAACACTGTCCAACGAATTTTGACTTTTTCGCTAATCTGTAATATCCATTAGGCGAGTCTTGCGGAGTTTACTTTCCTCGCGATTGAATCAAAATTGCTTTATAAATCGCAGTTTCCGGAAAAATGCGAGCTTCACTGGGAAGGCACGATTTTCGGCGGAAATGAAGTGAAATGCGTAAAAAGTAAGTACGTAAAAGTTACGGGATTCGTTTGGGTTTTGAAAATTATTCGAGAGTTTATATTTATAGTCGTTTATGTTTTTGAATAATTAAAATTACCTTCTGCATACCATTTATCTCTCGCGATGAAAATGAAGCTTTCGACGTTTTTATTTTTCGCGTCGTACTTCGTTTCGGCCAAAAATACGGGGAAACACGGAAATTTGTAAAAACACGTTTATAAATTATCAAATTTGTTATTAATAGCAAATTGTTATCTACGTAAATTTATAATAAAAGTGAAAAAATTAATAAATTACCGGCTATTACTTGAACTTATGACGTATACTTGTGTTAAAATTTACCTATAATTTATAAAAAGTTTATAAATTATCGAAATAATTGTTAATAATAAATTAATATTGTTTCTAACAAATTGTTCGCAACGTATATTTATAATAACATTGAAAAAATGAATAAATTATTGGCTATGAGAGCAAAAAATTAATAATTAATAAAATCGGCAGAGTCCGAAAACTTGCGATTGGGGTGGGGGGCTCGGCCGATCGACGGCTATATAAGGAGCGACGCGAGGCTGCGGAACTCATTTGTCGGTTCGACTTCGGAAGTGACGCGTTTAAAATTTTCGGTGCGCGAAAGGGTGGGGGTCGAAATGTGGTTGGGACTAGCCACCCCATTCACATCCCACCCCATTAAACAATTTACTAATAATTTTTTTTATTTTCAGCTATTAATTATTTTTTTTTTATTTCAGATGTTAGTTTTCGTTTGTATTTATTTACATTTGGACATTCGAATATTTCGTATAATATTCGAATGTCTCGTTGTTGGTTTAGTTGTGTGTCATTGTTAGGTTTCTTATATCTCATCGTTGGGTTGTTTATATCTTATTATTGGGTTGTTTATGCCTCATCGTTGGGTTCTGAATAATTATTTTCTTTTCAGGTCTAATTTATTATTTTTTCAGGGTTTAATATTTTTTCTTTTCAGGACTTAATTATTTTCCGTTTTTCAGATTTTATCTTTTCTTTTCTGTCGACATTTACTTGAAAATTCGAATATTTCGTGTAATATTCGAATATTTCGTTGTTGGTTTAGTTGTGTGTCATTGTTAGGTTTCTATTGTCTCATCGTTGGGTTGTTCCATCTATTTGGTTTATCATTGTGGTTCATATTCGTTTCTCTTTTGTTGTCTTTCCTCTTACTAATCCGTTTCATTTCAGGTTTATATATATTTTTTTTCCAGGTTTATACATATTTTCTTTTCAGGTTTTCAAATTTTTCTAGATTTCATTCGGACGTAGTCGGACATCCCTGGACCGAAGGGGCCTGGTGTTAGACCTAAGTAGTTCTAAGATAGATACCTAGACTAAGACTCATGTGCGCGCTATCTGTACCAAGGTGAACTATCTAACTTGGAGCGAACATATACATTTCATATTTTTCTTCACTTGGCCCTGTCGTTACCAAATAGAACATAATTGTTCTCGCGATAATCGCGATTGTTCTTAAGTACCGACTAGCCTACGCGACGTACTCTCGTGTACTCGATAACTCCGTGTTTCGTAAGTCATCCAAACGACTCGTTCCGACACTTACCCTCGCCACTGCCACCCTTGTCACGCATCGGTTCTAGGGTGGTCGGCGGGCTGGCACTCACCTGGGTCAATTCGAGGGTCTGTCGGCCCTAGTCGTCCTGGGCACCAGCGCGTGCACGACCGGGGTATGGGCTCTGTAGCCGTGACACTGCATATGGGCCTGCGGTCAGACCCCATGGGATGATTAAGTTCTCCCCCATGTGGCAGGGGCCTGCGTGACCGGCTACAGAGCCTCGCTGGGGACCCTCGGCTTGATTTTGGGTGTTTCGCTGGTTCGTCGATCGCTCTCGTTCGCGAGTAAGTCATGGCAGGGTCTGTGGTGGCTGGGTGGGCTAGGTTCGATCGGGAGGGTGCCGAGGCACGAAGTTGTCTTGTACACGAGAGTACGTCTCCTATGCTAGTCGGTCTTTCGAATAATCGCGAACTCGTTCGGGCGCGATCGCGATTTTTCACTTGCTCGCGTGTTTGATATTTCATTCCCGATTTTTACGGGAATTTGAAAATATCTTAGCGTTGCGACAGTAGAGTTTCAGTATACCGAACCGAAACCCCTTTTGTAAGACACGAAATATAATAAAGTGTCAGTAGAGTCATTTTAACTTAATTCGCTCCAAGTTAGATTAGGGTACCTTTGATACAGATAGCGCCAGCAGGCTGCGCCACTAGGGCGCATGTCGGGTCTCGATGCGTAGCCACCTCCTCGTGGTGAGATCTGGTAATTGGTATCCTTTTCCAAAGAGTAATCTTTTGAAAACGATACCAAGCTAAGAGCTACGCGCAAAGTTTAAGATATTTCCTATATTTTGTAAATTTTCGATGTTTCAGTTAAACATTTGACGATTTTTGAGGCTGCGAGAGGTAAGTGGATGGAATTCTTGGCGCCAACGCCATTCAAATACATTTATAGTTCATAAAAATGTATAAATAATCCAATTTGTTATTAATAATAAATTGTTCATAACGTAAATTTATAATACAAGAAAAGAATTAATTCATTGGTTATTACTTGAACAGAATGATACTAATGTTTAAATGTAC